GACAGACAAACGCACATTTCTAAAAATATATAGTAAAATTGTAAATGTTTTCTACTTTTTCAAATATTTGTATTTCAATTACCACACAGAATACGAAGTATACAGTGCTTACTTCAGTTTTATTACAAATATTTGCAGTGTAAAAAACAAACTTTTTTCAATCTCCCATTATTAATACCACAGTGCAATCTCTATCATGAAAACTGAACTTACAAGTAAGACTTACATATAAAAATAAAACAATGTAAAACTTGAGAGCATACAAATCTACTCAGTCCTATTTCTTGTTCAGCCAATCCCTAAGAGAAACAAGCTATTTACATGTGCACGAAATAACGCTGCATGCTTCTTATTTACAATGTCACCTGAAAGTGAAAACAGGTGTTTTCATGGCATTGTATCAAGCACTGCAAAATATTTGTGGGTCAGATGTGATCAAGATTTGTATGACTTTTCACACCTCAACCACCATTCCAGAGGACATGCATCCATGCTGCTAATGGGTTCTGTTTAGTAACTATTCAAAGCAGTGCAGACTAACGGTTGTACATTTTCATCATCTGAGTCACATGCTAATAGCAGAAAGTTGATTTTCTGTTTTGATGGCCCAGATTCTGTTGCTTCCACATCAGAATGTTACTCTTTTAAGACTTTTGAAAGCATGCTCCACCCCTTGTCCCTCAGATTTTGAAAGGCTCTTCAGATTCTTAAACCTTGGGTCAAGTGCTGTAGCTATCTTTAGAAATCTCACATTGATACCTTCTTTGTGTTTTGTCAAATCTGCAACGACAGTGTTCCTGAAAAGAAGGACATGCTGAGATCATCACCCAAGACTGCTATAACAAGAAATACATAGCACAATGTGAATAAAACGGAGAGCAGGAGACATACAATTCTCCCCAAAGGAGTTCAGTCACAAATTTAATTAACACATTATCTTTTTAATGAGAATCATCAGCATGGAAGTATGTCCTCTGAGATGGTGGCTGAAGCACAAAGACATATGAATGTTTAGCATATCTGGCAGGTAAATACCTTGCAATTGCTTGCTACAAGAATGCCATAGGAATGCCTGTTCTCACTTTCAGGTAACACTGTAAATAAGAAACGGGCGGCATTATCTCCTACAAATATAAACAAATGTTTCTCTCTTAGTGATTGGTTGAATGGGAAGTAGGACTGAATGGACCTGTAGACTCTAAAAGTTGTTTTGAGTGCAGTTATGTAACAATGCACATTTGTGAGTTGTACTTTCACAATAAAGAGAAGAGATTGTACTTGTATGAGGTAAACTGAAAAATATTTTGTTTATCATTTTACAGTTCAAATATTTGTAATAAAAATAATATTGAGCACTGTACAATTTGTATTCTATGTTACGGATGTAACAGTATGGTTGATTATCGGATTAATCAATAAGCAAAAACTTATACGTTAATGCTATAGATGGCACGCATTCTTCTCCCTCCCAGTACATTTTTCAGCAGGCTGGTCAGCAGCCTGGCTCAGTCCTGGCTTGCGCTGCGTCTGGGACCTACCCCCACTCTGGCTCTGCATTTAAAGTGTATTAGGAGCCAGGCGGTCAGGCAGTCCAGCTCAGTTCCGGCTCATGCTGGGACCAGGAGCTCAGGCCCACCCCCACCTCCCAGGCAGGGGCTGCTGCAACCCCGTACTGCTGCCTCTGTATCAGAGGTAGCACTATGGGTGGCAGGCAGTCAGTTCACTAGCGGAGCTGGAATTTAAACTGGCTCCCCTCAGAGACCAGCTCCCTCCTGGCATCCTGCACTGCTGCCTCTGATAGAGAAGCAGCAGTACGGAGTGGCAGGGGGCTCCCCAGGAGTGGGGCTGGCATGCATTGGCTGCTAGCCCCACCCCCAGGGACTACTGAATAGTCAGCTAACCAATAAGAATTCATGAGATTAAATTAACTAATATTTAACATCCCTATTTTACTTTGTAATTGAAAATATAGAAAAGCATCCAAAATACATAATAAACTTCAATTGGTATTCTATTGTTTAGCAGTTCGATTGTGATTGTTTAATCACAAATAATTGTTGAGTTTATTGCATGAGTTAGCTGCAATTAATTGACAGCCCTAGAAATAATCTCATGCGGAGTCTCCCAGAATTCATCTGAAGAAGTCGGCTGTGCCCACGAAACTCATGATGCCATCTACATGTTTTGTTAGTCTTTAAAGTCCTACCAGACTACTTGTTGTTTTTTAAGAATTCTGTTTTGTCATTCATCCTGTTCAGTGCAAATATTACATCAAACTTCAGAGAAATTTCTTGCATCCTTACTAATATCACTTCTAATGACTAGTTTAACCACACTTGTAGACTGAACATTTTGCTACTAAAAATGTGCCAAAAATCTTATGTTTTTTATTACTACCTACTACTTTCAAGGTATCCTTTTGAATTCATATATATGTTCTGTATCTGGCTCAAAAAGATAAACAAAACTATATGTCTTGTTATAAAATAACAGGATATGAGGGCACTGTTCAGCTCTTGACTTTTCCAGAGAAGCCTAACCCCTTAGCATAAAAGGATCAAGTCATTTTATAAATGCAAAACAATTTTAAACAAGAAATGCTTGGTCTTACATCTACTATATATTTGAGAGAATTTGTATGTATGTCTGTTGGTCTTACCATCCATACGTTAGTCTTTTTATTCAAGAACTCCTACATGGTAAGATTTAGGACCACCAAATTTGTTATGCAGCTTCCTTTCATTATAAGTTAAAACAAGTTAATGGGATGTGCATGGAATGGAATTGTTTCTCATCAAACAGAAAGAGAGGGCTGCAATAGCAGGATCATAATGACCCTAGGGAGGCAGCAAGCATACCCCTACCACCCTGACAGCCCCAGAGAGCTGTGGAGCAGCCATCAGCTGGGCAATGCAGCCCTTGTCGCCCTGGGCTAGCCTCAGGGAGCGGTCGGGCTGTGTGGCCCCTGTCACCTCGGGCTGGCCCCCAGCTCTACCACCCCCCACCCCATTCTTCCCTCCCTCAAGCCCCTCCACATCTGCCAAACCCCTGCCCCCTGCACCACCAGACCCTGTCACCACATACACCCTGCCATAAGTCACCCACACCTCCCTGCCCTGACTCCAGCACCCTCCGTCCACTGCCCTGAGCTCATCCTCAACCCCCAACCCTGATTCCTGCACCCCAAGCCCCTTCCGTAAGTCTCCCCATCTCCAAGCCTCTGCCCTGATTCCTGCACCCCCTAGATTCCCAGCTCCCAACCCTGAAGGACCTGAGTGATGCTGGGTAAATCTTCTAGCTCACTCTATAAAAGGAAAGGAGGTTTCCATCCTAATACTCCAATCATTAGGATTATACTTTGTAAAAAGCTTACTGAATTTTTTTCTCCTATATATTCTCTACAAAATAAGTACTATACACAAACTGATGTATTCTGAAAATCCTTAATGAACCCACTGGAAGTCCATCATTGCAACCCCAGAAAAAGAATACTGTTTACAAAAATGTTACTCAATTGCTTTCAATTTAATATATTATTTTAACAAACTGTACTTCATTGAGGACAAAGAACTGTATTACCCCCACCTGCATTGTGCTTACCGGCATTCATCAGTCTTTTCAATGGAGGAAGAGAGCTAACCTGATTTTCAATCATCATATTTCTATGACACTGTGCTGAATAGGATGAAGTATTCCACAAAAATTAATCTCAGTGTCTAAGGAACAAGTTTTGTTTCTCATCACTAGAGATTCAACTTAAAATGATCAGTTCTATGCATTTGCTGGAAGCAGAGAAAAAGGGCTTTCAAGTCCAGAGCAGTTATAATTTGGGGATAAAATTAGGCTATCATGTGTAAGAATGATTTTTTAGCAAAAAGGAAGTTAGTAAACCATATGGTGCTAATATTAATTGGTGCAAATACAATCAAGTATTAAAGGGAAACAAAACCAGAAAATTATTCCATAAGACTACATAGCATTAGTAAGCATAATCATTTATCATTAGCTCAATATATCATGGGTTGAAAACAAAACTAACATTATTTAGCTGTAGTTCAATGCTTGTGTATCATGACCACCATAAATAAGCAGCTTTGTTGTATAGCGAAATGGCCCCATGACTATTATATGCTTAAAACTATAATTACTCGGATTCAAAACAGAGACTTATTTCTCTTCAATATGTAAACTGGACAACCCATCTTCTTGGTGGACCTATGCTAGAATCCTCAAAAGCTGGCACATGACACACGTAGACTTCTGCACACTCCCCATGAATAGTGTAGGTGACATGGCCAAAGCAAAATTTCTTAATGCAACTGAACACAAGAGGACCAAACAAGCTCATTTTGTGAATCTTGCCATAGGGTGTCCCAATGGGGGACTGCTCTGTATTGAGCACCTCTGAAAATTTGGCCCCGTGTATTCTAACAGGAAAAGGAGTGTAGGATAAAGATGAATGGCTGTACCTGTGGGCTGCCTTTTTTATTTTGTATTTGTTTGTGCACATGAAGGGGGAGCACCTGCTCAGACATTATTCTAGTGCTATCTTGGTGCTTCATTGTCTGTCTCAGCAACTGTATCCAATAAGAATGCCTCCACAATAACCCCTAAGACACTGCTGCCATTTTTCAGGGTAAACACACCTGTATTCTCTCTCCCTTTCCTCTCTCCCTTTCCTCCCCCCCTTCCCGATCAACTATTCTACACTCCTGGCTCTTCAGATGTCCCCACTTTTGGATAGAAATCCACATCTCTCTTTCTCCTCTCTGAGCTTTTCCCAGGCTGCATAGTTTACGGCTTACACTGTGATACAATAAGATATCCACACTGTCTAAATAGACCAGCATATGTGCCATTTTCTGAAGGCTTGTAAACCATGTACCAACAGTTACAGGTTACCCCACAGTTCTTTCAAAGAAAGCATATTTATTTTTAAAGGTGAAACCATTACAATGGAAACACTGAAACCACACCCTAAGAAGTTCAGCAGAGATCACCTCTTGACTCCAGCACGGGATCTGGCAGGTTTTTCCATCCTTCAAACCTCTGGAAGTATTTTTCCCCCTATTGTTACAAATAGAAGGAAAAAACCTAGAATAAGGATGGGCAATAAGTGGTCTGCAGGACAGACACAGTTCATCAGGATTAGGTCCTGGCAGGCCACCAGCTGCTTTATTTACCTGCGCATCCACAGGTTCAGCCATTTGTAGCTCCCATTGGCTGCAGTTTACTGTTTCCAACCACTGGAAGCAGCATAGGCCAGGTCTCCTCACAGCTCTCATTGTCGAGGACTGGTGAACTGTGGCCAACGGGAGCTAAGAGCAGCTGTAACTGTGGATGCAGAGGTAAATGAAGTGTCTAGCAGCCCGTCAGGGCTAATGTTAGCAAATAGACTGCTTACTGTCCATTCCTGTGTCAGGAGAAGTTTTTCACCCACCTGATCAGCCTTCCTGCAAAGTCCTGGACCCAAGCTAAAGGGATTTCTGGCCTTTGTATGAAGACCTAAGAAAGCCAAACTATAAAGCTAATGCAGGTTGTGCCTTAAGAATCTACAAGTGTGCTTCTACCATTAGTTAGGGTGAGAATTTGCTAATTCATATCCTATCTACCTTGTAGGTTAAGCTTAATGTCTTTATTTGCTGGGTATTTTGCTTTGATCTGTTTGATATCCCTTCTAATAATTTAAAATCTATCTAAACCAGTGAGTTGGAGTAAAATGCATGGAAAACTGTAACTGAAGGGGCAAGTGCTGTTGCATATTGCTCTCCACATTAAGGTGGGAGACAAACTCTATGTGAGTTTAAGCTGTACAGTTTCCTATACAGTACAAGACGGTATAATTCTGTGTTTACACTCCAGATGGGGGTGCATCCTTAACAAGCTGAAAGTTATCTTGGCTGTAGCCTTTCTATTGCTAGTTTGTGCAGTGGCTAGGCAAAGAGCTTGCATGTAACTGCAGCTGGGTGTGTCCCTATCTGTCTGAATGCTGGTGGAAGTGTGGGACCAGGAATGGGTCTGCCACTTGTCACAGCAGCACAGTGAGAGGGAGCACAAGTTAGTGGGTCAGAGGGCTCAACGGTACCCAAGTTCCAGGTGACATCCCAGTGGGAACCCATCACACTGGTATGTTTGTATTGGTCTATCAAGACTCATCTAGCAATGCACAAATTAATTTGTTTGTGTCTCACCAAGATCTACATTTTTCTAGTCCAGTTAGCATGCGCAACATGCAAGGTGCACAGAATGTTCTCTATGTAGGGATGTTAAATGGCGTTTAATCAGCTAATCGACTAGTCGATGGAATTTCCATCAACTAGTCAATTAGTTGATAAGTAGGAGAACTGCAGAGCCACAGCACGGTTAGCTCCTAGATTGAGAGCTAACCCCACTGCAGCTCTGGCTTTTAAATGTATTAAGAGTCACCAGGCTCTTAGTGCATTTAAAAACCACAAGCACAGGGGAGGGAAGGGACCGGGCATAAGCCAGGAATCAGCTGATTCCCGGCTTGTGCCCAGTCCCCCACTACGCCTTTGCCTTCCCTGCCCTCCCCATGGAGATAGAGGCAGCAAGGAGGAGGGGGAACGACTAGTCAAGTCACTAGGGGTATGTCTACACTACCACCCTAGTTCGAACTAGGGTGGTAGTGTAGACATACCCCTAGTGACTTGACTAGTCGTTCCCCCTCCTCCTTGCTGCCTCTATCTCCATGGGGAGGGCAGGGAAGGCAAACATATTGCCGGGCGCCGCCATTTTTAAATGTCCGCTAGTTTGGACTCCGTGCCCGCGGCTACACGCGGAACGGAGTAGGTAGTTCGGATTAGGCTCTCTAATCTGAACTACCAGTACACCTCGTTCCACGTGTAGCCGCGGGCACGGATTCCGAACTACCGGGGCTTTAAAAATGGTGGCGCCCGGCAAGATGCAAATGAAGCCCGGGATATTTAAATCCCGGGCTTCATTTGCAACTTCGGTTGCCTGCGTTAACCACCCTAGTTCGAACTAGGGTGGTAGTGTAGACATACCCTAGTTGACTATTCGCTTACATCCCTATCTCTGAATTCTCATAATAAGCCATAAGATCAGCCTCTACACAAGTTAATTCATCCCTAGGGATCACTCTCCTACATCCCCTGTAAAGCAGATGGTGTGCTGCAGTATTGATACATGAAGAGCCTGAGGAGAAAATCTCCCTTCTACTGTATCCTCATTCCTATCAGGAGTTGAGTGAAAATCTGACCTCTGTTGTTTAAAGGGTCTGTAGACAGGAGGACTAAGCCAGGTGAGGCAACTGGTGAATTTCCAATTTACAATATTCTCCACCTCTGCATACCCTAAGTTCCATTAACAGAAGAGGGTGCTCGCATGAAAGATAACCCAGCATCAGAGTACCCCTCTAGGGCACCAGAAGAAACAACAGACATGCCAGTACAATTAAGAGAAGTAATTCTGGAAGGCAGTACACTTGCCAGTCCTCCACTGACAACCAGCAGTAAACAGTCAGAGGAGGCTACTGGACTGCAACTGGAGATTCTTTGAGATGCTTGGTCCCTATTTGTAGTCCAGTGAGTACACTAGTAGATCTTTCTTGGACCACATAATGGTAAGAAGGACTGGGCACAGTCAGTCTCCCCACTCGTTATCGCTAGGGACAACGCATGAGGCAAAGCAAGGACGCGTACGTGGACCAATGGACACTTCTATTTTCAAGTTCTCTTGCTCCAGATACTAGCATGCACACATAAACCCCCAATGGACTACAACAGGGACCATCACTCAAAGAACTGGAACGCGGACATTTCTACGGCAACATCAGTTAGTGCATTTAAAAACCACAAGCACAGTGGGGGAAGGGGGGAGGGAAGGGACCGGGCATAAGCCAGGAATCAGCTGATTCCCGGCTTGTGCCCAGTCCCCCACTACGCCTTTGCCTTCCCTGCCCTCCCCATGGAGATAGAGGCAGCAAGGAGGAGGGGGAACGACTAGTCAAGTCACTAGGGGTATGTCTACACTACCACCCTAGTTCGAACTAGGGTGGTAGTGTAGACATACCCCTAGTTACTAAGGACTGCAAAGAGTTAAAGGGATCTCACCAAACTGGGTGAGTGGGCAACAAAAGAGCAGATGGAATTCAATGCTGATAAATGCAAAGTAATGCATATTGAAAACATAATCCCATGGGGGGGGGGGGGGGGGCGAGTGGGGACCATGCTGCAAGGTTATTGTAATGGGGGTTTCAGTACTACCAGGGCTTGCCGAACTGCGGCGAGCCCCGCTCGCCAGCCGCGCTGTCCGGCAATCTACGCATGCACAGATCACCTGAACCTAGCTCTTCCAGGTTGCAATCTACCTGGCTAGTAGATTGCATTATTTGTCGAGCCCTGCCGATAGGATAGGTCTATCCTGTGGTAGTAGGCCAATGGTCAAATTCCACCAGTCTGCTATTGCCTGAAAGTTTGCTAGGCTCTCTGTTATCATTTTGCCTTAATGGAGCAGGATTCTCCATTTCTTTTTTTAGTCGTGGCTCCCAAATGCATGGTCATTTCATCTTTAGACCTGCTTATCACCACACTTCTGCCATAGCATTCACAGATCATAGAGGAAATTTATCATACTGTAGGTGACCATATTCAGTCCAAGGGACTTTTGGAAAATAACTGCTTCAACTGATACAATCTTGTACTTTTATGACAAAAGTTGAGAGAAAAGGAATTGTACAGCCCTTGATTTGTTGGGCATTCCTTTTCTACAGCATTCCTCCCAAAGTCTCCACAGGAAAATTAGAAAAGATATATCATCTTGTAGGATGTCAATGTATAGACCAGGGTTCGGCAACCTTTCAGAAGTGGCATGCCAAGATTTAACTTACTCACTTCTATTTACATATCTGTGTGCTGGGGGAGAAAAAGGGGAGGATAGGAGCAGGTTGGGTACGGTGACCATATTTTCTGAACCAGCTGCAGTTAGGGAAACTGTTTAATTTAAATTGTTAAACAGATTAAGCATTTTAACTTTCTCATGTTAGTTTATCAAACTTCATTTTAAATAAAGTAAAATATTAATTTATGTCCAACACAAAAGGTTTCAATGTTTTATTTATGGCAGGGACAGGAACCTTTTTTGGGTTGGGGGCCACTGACCCACAGAAAAATCAGTTGGGAACCACACAAGTGAGACGCAAACAAACGGCTCAAAAACCCCCAACCCTCACTGATGTGGCCCCCAATTGAGACACCTCACTCTTCTGGCGTTCCAGCCCCACACGACGAGGGGAAGGGACAGGGAGGACTGAGGTTTAGGGCTTCCCATAGGCCTAATTTACTTTTCTGCGGTTCCAGGATTAGTGGATTTTGGGGATCCCCTTAGGCTCTGGGGAGGACAAAAATGAGGGGATTCAGTGTGTGGGACAGGGCTGCTAGCAAGGGGACAGAGATGGGTATGCAGAAGGGGGTGAGGTGGGATGGTGTGCAGGAGAGCGTGAGGAGGGCAGGGTCTGGAAGGGACTTTGGTGGCAGGACAGGGTGTGGGTACAAGAGATACTTGGGAGCAGGAGAAGGTTGGGGGCATAACCAGAAAAGGTGAGAGGGTGAGAATGCACCCAAATAGCTGCACATCAAAACCTTTGTGGCTGATTGATTGTTGTATTACCTGTGGAAGGGGAAAGAACACTGGTGACCTTCTGGGTTATGATGGAGATTTGTAGTTCCTATGGCAACTATATGCTCTGAAACTAAGTAAAAGAAGAACATTGATTCACTTTTATATGTAGATGTTGAAGCAGCTATTTAGCTTAAAAATCCTAAACCAGCAAGTATTCAGAATCATGGAGGAGAGAGGTCTCCCTTGGCCCAGCTTGTTTCCTGGCAATCCCAATGAGGAGTTGTCAGTAACTGAGGGAACAGGGGCTGGAGGAGACTGACCCATGGAGAAGCAAGGAGTCCCGGACAGATACAGCTCAGAGCGTTGGAGGAAAATAACTAATTTGAAGGTCTGAGCTGCCAGCAGAAATATGCACTGGCATTAAAAGCAGTTATTCTTCTGGATACCTGGAGGGGTGAAAATGTCTC